GTCTACTTTCTGTCCCAGCGAGGTGCCTGCCTCCAGTCTAGCGGGGAGCCTGCCTTCCAGCCCAACAGGGAGTCTGCCTTACAGCCCATCAGAAGCCCGCCGCCCATGGAGCTCGAGCGTCCGGCCTGCCAGCCAGGCCGACCCGCTAGCCAGGAAGAGTAACAACCATCAGTTAATGCGCTATTAATTATGTATTTAGTTCCGTATTAATGTTGTAATTAATTAATCATTATTGTAGTTGGCAGTTACCATTTGTGTATGCCTATAAAAGGCAAGTTATAATTCAGATACATATACAATATTTCTGGCAACTAAATCTCCCTAGCAACTTTCCATTTTTGTACTACTTTCTTAACTCCTGCTTGAGTTTCTAATGTAGCTTTCCAAAAAGCTTACGAGCGTCCTATTTTGGACAAGCACAACCGATTCAACTAATTTTAGCGTTACCAAATGAGTTCTAAGAGTTTACTAAAACTCTTATAAAACGGGAAAAAATGACAACAATAATCTCACCTTTGACCGATCTGCTCATAATAATCACACCTTTGCGTAATCTAGAATAACGCACCTAGGCCTGAGATTTTGAAACCGGGAACCGAAAAAATGACCGGAACCGAACCGATATAGTACGGTTATGTTTGATTCCTATTTTTTTGGTTATAAAAATTATCGGTTCGATTCCTATTAGTTCGGTTCCCGATTTGTTGTAAAAACTTTGGCTTAGAACGGACATGGAACCGTTAATTCACAATTCATTCTTAAATTTTAAAAGTTAGACAACTAGTGGTTATTCTACTTATGCTTATTCCGTGAACCCACCGAGCCTTTAGCCCACTAGACAACCTTTAGTTCTCTACTCTTCAACCTTTAACCCACTCACTACCTGTAGCATAAGGAGGAGAACCCTAGCATCTTCACTCCTCTGCTGTTTGCTCCTCATCTTTCAATGGTTTTCATGGCTTCCTCAAAGGAGATATCATAGATAGGTAAGCATCTCTAGCTATCTGTATTTTTAAATCAAACTTTTGTAGCTCATGGAAAAACCACCAAAGTCTTGCCTTCTTCTTCTTCTTCTTCTTCTTCAGGTCAGCGACGTTTCTTCTGGTGTGAAGCTTCTGCTCGTTTTGGTTTTTCTCTCTGGTACTACCTCGTATCAAGAGAGAAGAGAAGGTAAATGAAACATGTGTGAATTACAAGCTATCTAACTTCTTAATTTTTCTTTCAAATCAGCTAGCAGATCCGATTCACCCATAGTGATTGAGATTCAAAAATAAAAACGCACAACAAGTACAATACAATTGTAAAAAACATACGACTCTCTACATATCAAAATCTTCCCACAGATTCATTATAATTCAAATGGCTCTTTAAAAATAGTTTATATACGAGACCATTATAAGTTTTGTTTTCCCATATGTGAATTATCTATTTTATATTGCTTTCATTTTTATTTTCGTTGATTCAGATTAAGTTTTGGCTTATGTATAGGTATTTTTGGGTTAAGCTTTCCTGTTATGATGTAGATGTGTGGTCCTATTCAGAAGCTCGATTTTGGGATTTTCAGATTTTGATTTGATTGCAGATGGAATATTTATGAGCAGATTTTAATTTTTGCTTGGGGTGTGAAGTATGGGATGATTGATTCCATTTCAGTAAAATGAAAAACAATCAGTTGTATATTTGTTTGTTAGTCTTGTTCTTGTTCCAGGTATATACCTTATTTGCATATATAGCATTGAATCAACTTGGTCTAAAAAACTAGAAGTTTTCCTTGGAACTAAATCACAGTAGAATCAAACAACTCTTGTGAAGTAACAATGATAACAGTCATTAACTTTAGTTCATGTATTCATTCTCTCAAAATATTCAACTTTTAGTTGACTATAGAGTAGAGGTACAAATTGGCCACACTCAAATAATTACTTGCAAGTATTGCTTTATTCAAATTGCTTTTGACTTGACCAAGAATGGGACTAGTACACTAAAGAAACATTTAGAACAACACATTAACTAGAATGTAAGTATATTCACATTAAACCAAATATAGTGTTGTGACATAGTCAATTATGATAATCTTACTACCACTGTTTTATTTAATGTCAATTAACTCAATTTTAAATAATTTTTCCATAATTGAATTACTTGAAGCTGGCTATCAATTCTGGTCACTTTGGACATCTACAAGCATCCTTGTTGATCCATTAGAATCATATTAACACTTTCTAATTCTGTATTGAACAAACTGATTTTTTGTTTAGTTTTCAGTTTTTAATTAATATTTAAACCTCGCACATTGGCTGCATCCTTACATAGTACTCTTCTTTGTTCGGTGTTACGGTGTTTCCAGTTTTCCGGCTTCCTTTCAGAAAATGGGGCTCTCAAACGATCTGGATCTGCTGAATCCTTCTTTTGAAGATCAGAAAAGAAAGCACAAGCTCAAGCGTCTCGTACCATCCCCGAACTCTTTCTTTATGGATGTGAAGTGTCAAGGTTGCTTTAGCATAACAATTGTGTTCAGCCATTCTCAGACTGTTGTTATGTGTGGAAACTGCCAGACAGTCCTATGCCAGCCAACGGGTGGACGTGCCAGACTCACTGAGGGCTGCTCTTTTAGGAAAAAGGGCGATTAGTAACCAAGTCCATGATCAGATCTTAATGCTTTCTTTGGCAAGGTTACTAGTGACCATACTATATCATTTTTGTTTGACGTTTGTTTTAAAATGTTAGGATTTTGATCTTGGATATCTACTTTGCTTTTTAATTCCCAACTTTCGTGTTCATTTTGTTTTGTAATTATGTTACATGTTTGACAATCATGTTTTTGAATTAAGTAATCATTTTGTTATTAAAAAAATTAATATTTAAATATTGATGTTTTTATGTGATTGTAACGTTGAATGAAGATGTATTATTGAATGATTGTTGTAGTTTTAGGAACCGATAAAAAGCAAGAACCGAACCGATTGAATTTGATTTGGTTTCTTAACGGTTCTACATTTTTTACTAGAACCGAACTGATTTTAAGAGTTACATTTTTCTTAACGGTTCCTCCAATTTTGGATAAGAACCGAACCGGTCTCAGGCCTAAATGCACCTTTGCAGCTCATATTTTCTCATTGGATCCTGATCGGTTGATGATTTACTATAACATGTTTTTTGTCTTTTCTTTGGTAATCTTATATAAATAATTACATCTTTCACAAATATGTTCAAAATAGTCCCATGTTTTTTTTTTCACCCAAAAACTTTTCCATCCTTTTGTTTATATTTCTTTTCCATATTTATTATTCTAATTCTCACTCTACCTACTAGGGGTGGACTCGGGTCCGGGCCGGGTCCGGGTCGGGCCTAGGCCCGGGTGGGCCGGCGGTTCAAGAATGGTGGACCCGGGACCGGCCCGGGTAGCCACCGGGTCCGGGCCGGGCCGGGTAGCCACCGGGTCCGGGCCAGGCCGGGCCTCCGGTTTGTTTTTTTTTTTTTTTTTTTGCTTTCCTAACCCACCCCCCTCACCCCCCACCCCCCCAAACCCCCCAAACCCATCCTACCCATCAAGCCCAACCCGGGTGGAACCCCAAAAATGAAAAAAAATAAAAAAAATTTCAATTTGACCCGGCCGGGCCGGTTCACCAAAATTGAGACCCGAGCCCGGACCCGCCCTACCACCTGGGCCTAGGCCCGACCCGGACCCGGACCCGAGAACCGGGCCGGTCCCGGTCCACGGGCCGGGTGGCCCGACCCGAGTCCAAGCCTACTACCTACTATAAGTTTTTGTTTTTGTAAAAATTATTTTCCGCATACATTTTTTTTGTCATTTTCCCCCCATTTTTTATTTCATTTCTCCCTTTTTTGCTTCTTTTGTTAATCATTCTTTTTTATTAAAGATCTTTTTCCCACTTTATCTTTTGTTATATTTTCTTTTTATTTTCACTTTTTTCCTTTTTTCTTCTTGTTACTTTGTTGCTTTTTTTTCTTTTCGTTTTTCTTGTTACCTTAATTCAGCCATCAATATATTTTTTTCTCCTTTTCTGCATCATCATATTTTTCTAAGTAAGTTCTCTCATAAATTTCATCAACTATTGGAAAAATCTTAGCGATAAAAAGATTAGGAAAAAATAAAATTTAAACAAAAATAAAACAATAGGGAAAATGTAAGAAAGGAAAAGTAAATATACTCTTTACATGAAAAAGGGTAGATGTGAGAAACATTATATGAAAATGTAAAAAATAAGAAGAAAACTAGATCAATAAATCATCAATATTCACTAAGATGTCAAAAGCAAGCAAAAATGGAAGGGGAGAAAATGGACAACGAAAAAAAGGAAAAGGAGAATTTAAAGAAAAGAAAATTTGAAATAAAAATAAATAAAATAATAACGAATAATGAGGGATAATAGTCTTTAAAAGATAATTAACCAAATAGTAATACATAAAAAGGGGAAGAAGTAAAAATGAGGAAGAAGAAGAAAGAAAAAACCATTGAGAAAAAAGAAAGCAAAAACATAAACAAATTAAATAATAAGAAGATGAAGAAAAGAAAAAATGAAACGTGAGTCTGTTTTGAGTAGATTTGTGAAAGGTGCAATTATTTATGTATGAGGAAGAAGAAAGAAAAAAACATTGAGAAAAAGGAAAGCAAAAACATAAACAAATTAAATAATAAGAAGATGAAGAAAAGAAAAACTGAAACGTGAGTCTATTTTGAGTAGATTTGTGAAAGGTGCAATTATTTATGTAAGATTCCCAGAGAAAACCCAAAAAACCCGGTATAATCATCAACCGATCAAATCTAATGAGAGAAGATGGATTGTAAAAGGAAATAAATGTGGAATTATTTTGTGACTATACAAATGTGAGATTATTACGAACACCTCTCAAAAGTGAGATTATGATCAAAATTATCACAATAAAAAATATTTATCAATTGTTGTCGATATTTTCTATAAAAAATTATCACAATAGTCCGTTGGTAAGTTTTTTTTTTGTAAATTTATTTATACTTGCAAAAATTATGATCAAAATTCGCATATCTCCTCAACCAACACGTCTGAAGGTACTGCAAGGTTTCATCTGAAGATCGAGAAAGTTGTAAACATGCCGAAGAAGATGGGCGTGAACAGTAAGGCCGAGGCATCTAGGGCTCGGAAGACCGCGGTCGAATCTGAACGGAAGGATCGTGAGGAACGGGAGAAGGAAGATCAGTATTGGCGCGAAGCCGAGGGGTCAAAGTCTCGCGCCGCTAAGAAACGTGAGGAAGAAGCGGAGAAACGAGCGGAGGCTGCTGCTAAGAAGGCCGAGGCGCGCCGTCTCGCTGAATTGGAGGAGCAGGAATTGGCCAAGTCACTGAAGAAGCCGGACAAGAAAGTTGATAGAGTATCTGTGCCGGTACCGAAGGTGACCGAAGCTGAACTCCGGAGACGAAGGGAAGAGGAGCAGGCGGCGATTCAACGTAGGGCCGAGGAGGAGAAGCGAAGGCAGGGCCGTGTTGCGGAGGAGGAGGAGTATGAACGGATGGTCCTCGTTACGAATACAAATCGTGATGATTCCATCATTGAAGCTAGGTCAGTGGATGAAGCGCTTGCTCGCATGACTGTCGCTGAAAATTTGCCTGTTGATAAACATCCAGAGAAGAGACTTAAGGCTTCTTTCAAGGTATAGCCGTATAGGTCATTAGATTACTTAGTTAATTGATAATTAAGAAAATTTAAGAAATTTTAGTTCTTTTCTTTTTTATCATTGGAATTATATTTCGTTGAAGCCATAAACGAAGTCCTGGATATTGTATACGGAGTACTGAATTCTTCGATAATCCAAATTATATCCTTTGAAGGCATAAACAAATTTCCTGTATATTGAATATATGATCTCTTCAATTTATGTTTAACCAAGCGTCAAAGGGGATGCTTTCACCTAAAAGCTGATCTACTTACAGTGAAATATGCTTTCTTCATACATTCCTAATAGACTAATAGTTGGACCCTTAATGATTGTAGGCCTTTGAGGAATATGAGCTTCCTAGACTGAAAGAAGAGAAACCTGGGCTTACTCACACACAATACAAAGACATGCTTTGGAAGCTTTGGAAGAAATCTCCAGATAATCCTCTTAACCAGGTAAAGTCTTTGTCCTAAAGATATTCAGAGTGGAGGATCTACCCTACACTTGTTGTGCCAGAGTCATGGGTTTAGTGTTATATCCAACACTAGGAAATTTTGTTTCTAATTGCCGAGGTTTTTGGCTTATAGTCAACTAAGTACTCAATTCCTACCAAAACCCTAGTTTTTTCTCATCCCTTAGTGTCAAAAAAGTGAACAGTCTTTTTCTCCATTTTCGCTCATCGAAAAGAACACAATTTCTAAGTAGCACGGAAACGTACAGGGAACATGAGATACAAGCTTTCTAAAAATATAGCATACAAAACGCAGGGGTACATGTAAATGTTAAAAAATAAGGATATATTTATACGGAGTAATTTTTTTCATATATCTATACATGCTTTATAATGGAATAAAGCAAAATGGCTCACTAAACTGTTTGCGCTTCTTTGTTATGAAGCAGCAGTCAGTCCATGCAATTTTGGACGGGATTTTCACTATGGGTCATCCGGAAACAGTCTCTCTGTGATTTAGTACAGGGGATTGCGTACATCCGACCCCCCCTTACCCCACCGTAGGTGGGAGCCTTTGCGGCACTGGGGTAAATGAAAATGATGATGATGAAATGATCTATACATGCTTTTTTTGGCTTTGGAGAAGTGGAGGGCGAATATTCGTATAGGCGGGTGATCTCTTTTCTCTCTTTCTCTCTTTTCTTTTATCTTTTATCTTCTTTATCTTTCTATGTTCTTATGTTATTTTATGCTAGTATTTCGTATGCTCTTTTAGCTTTTTATCTTTTATTGTTCTTTTGTTCTTCTGTTATTTTTATCTTATATTTGTCTTTATTTATCTATTTTATTTTACTTTATCTTTTTTTATTTTTCTTATCTTTCTTCTCCTTTTGGCTCGGATATCATGGATCTGTTCATGTTCATGTTAGCTGACCCCAATTTTTTTTGGGAATAAGGCTTGGATGTTGTTGATGTTGTTGTATATATGCATGTTTTTTCATATATATGTACATTTTTTCAAGCAACTTTCTTTGATGACCAATAATAACTAGACTCTATGTGTTCAAATTTAGAAATTATAATGTATTAGTAGATAGTTAAACATAAATCGCAATACAATTCTAGTAATGCATTGCCTGATAGAATATCACAATGCTAGGAATAAATCACACAAAAAATTGGAAACCTAAAGTTTCCAAATCCGCAATTGTTTAGGAAAATGGGTTTCCCAAATTTTCTTAATCCCGGAAATGGTCTCGAAAAGAGGAAAAATGAGCCGTGGGAAGTTTCCGTGCTTCATATGATCCTTTAATTGAGTTTTTTCATTATTTAGTATAAGTGGGAAATAATTAAAATATCCCAACTTTGAAGGGGTGTGAGATGAACACCCCAAACTTGCATATGTAATTTAAATACCTCAAACTCTATATAAAAAGTTATTTTAGCACCATAGTCAAGTATTATTTCTTTCAAAAATGTAAATTTATGGTTTTAATTGCATAATTTAAAATATTTTAGTATTCATGAAGACACAATTAACATTCTAAACTTCCATTGTGAAATAAATAATGTTATCCCCAATCTATATAATTAACAATTTTAATTTGCTATATTAATGGTTTTAATTGCATAATTTAAAATATTTTAGTATTCATGAAGACACAATTAACATTCTAAACTTCCATTGTGAAATAAATAATGTTACCCCCAATCTATATAATCAAACACTTTTAATTTGCTATATTAAATTATGCAATTAACTGCGAAAATAACATTTTATGTATCAAATTTACATATGTATTGATGTATTGATTTACATTTTTGAAAGAAATAATACATGACAATGGTGCGAAAATAACATTTTATTTAAAGTTTGGGGTATTTAAATTACATATGCAAGTTTGGGGTGTTTACCTCACACCCTTTCAAAGTTTGAGGTATTTTTATAACTTTTCCCTTAGTATAATTGTGTAGATAATTTTTTTTAAATTCTTTGTCGATTGTGTTTTTTATTACTGTTCTATACATCTTTGTTATGTAATTCTCAATCCCCATCATTTTCATGTTATTCACCCTTGATTTAGTTTATTTTGGTAGTAAGATTTTAAAAATTCAAATTAGAACTGCAACTGTATTTTTGGGCTTTTTACCATTTTGAGAATTCATTTATTCCCCCTGTACCCCTGTCCCCTGGTCCCTTTGGAGAATTCAATTATGCATGAGATGGGAGAATGAAAGAGCAAATCTTTTGACTTTCTTCAATTGAAATAAAACTAATTTGTGAACTCCCTCTGGCCCATAGAATGAGTATCGATTCATTAGTTGTTGCAAGGTACAACTATTGAAATTATCACCTATAGCTTGACATTAAAATTTATTTTTTGTTTAAGATAGACCTAACATGCTTAATTTATTGGAGTCACAGGTTATCTTGTTCTTTAAAAACCCTTTCTAGGAACGATAATAAGTTATCAACTAGGTATTTTTTGGAAATGAGTGAGCCTAATTGCTTCTTGGTATATATTTTGTTTAATTTGTTTCAGTTACTTTTTTCATTTTTGTATTATATGTAGTCAAACTTTTTTAAAGCGAAAAGCGTCCAAAAGCGATGACCTTGGGCTTTGCTTAAAAGCGAAAGCGCTAAGCGAAGCGTAGCTTTCTCACAAAAAGCGATGCTTATAAAATATTAAAAAAATAATATATATAATGTATAATTAAGCCAAAAATGCATAAGTAGTGTTTCTCCCCTGAGGATCTTGACTTTTAGATTGTTCTCCAGACATTTTGTCTACAGTTTACATATACATATTTCACAAATATATAATCAAGCAAGTGTAAATGAACTGTACAATTTAATTAATCAATAAACTTAGTGGAATAAACTGAAAATTAATAAATCAATAAACTGAAAGTAGTAGACTTGAATAAACTAAAAAATAATTAATCAATAACATGAAAGGAATTAACTGGAAAAAACTCAAAATTAATTAACCAATAAACTGAAAGGAATAAACTAAAAATTTATTAATCAATAAAATGAAAGGAAAAAACTGGAATAAACTAAAAACTAATTAATCAATAAACTGAAATGAATAAACTAAAATTTAATTTAGTGGAGTAAACTGGGGTTGATAAATTAATTATGTAACTAGCTAAAGAGTGAAGAACGATGTTTAAGGCTGAAAGGTGTTTCAAAAAAAAAACAGAGCAAAAGGCTAAAGTCTCTGTAGTCTGTAATAAGACTGAAAGTTTTCAAATAAAAAAAAAACAGAGTAAACCTGAAGAGTGAAGACTGAAGAACGATGTTTACGCGAAAGAGATTGTGCGGCTCACAGGCGAGTTGGAGATTTCTAGCCCAAAAGAAGTCTGGGCGAACTCCAAACCTGCGGCTTCATCACCTACGGCTTCTTCACTTGCGACTTCTTCACCTGCGACGTTGTCTGGTGCGTGGAAAGAATCGAACGAACATAACCCTAATTTCTAGCGTGAGGCCGATAACACTTAAAATAGCTTATTAAACTTGTTAAAAGCAAGGTTAAAAGCGACTCGACGTTGTCTTGTATTATATGTAGTAGAAAACATTAAATTTGATGAAAGAATAGCTTATTTGATTCTAATAGAATTCCTTTTTGGGACAAAAAATAAGTTATCAACTAGGTCTTTCTGTTTGAATGGAAGGAGTATTCTTTGATTGAAAAAATATAATTTATTAAAAATTTATATGGATAATGTAAATGATAATTGTTTCTTGGTATAGTTTTTGTTATTTTATTGTTTAATTATCTTAAGATAGAACTGTATATTTTTTACTTGCTGTTTTCTTAAAATAAAGAACAACACTATGAAAACGAAAAAGTGGTTACCAGTTTTTTGGTGAATAATTTTAAGATTAAGCCCATCAGTATACATGTATCATTACTTTTTTGTTTGTTACACAACTTATATCATATAGTTTTCAACAATTGTAAAACCAAAACTGCAATTTGGCTGCAATTTTGAATGGTCCCTTAGTGTATTGCTTACTTGAATTCACCTCTTGGTGTAGTTATTTACTCACTTTTTTGCTTTGTTTGATTTCTTGAAAATAACTTGCTGTGTAAAATGTTTTTCTCAGAAATAAATTTTCTGTAAAATATTTTGTGTACGAATTAAGTTGTTCTATGTATATTGATCTATATATAAATAATTAATGCAAGGTTTAACCGGCGAAAATGAATTATAGAAAGTCTTAAATCATTTTTTGGAAAATGAGAAAAATGAATTCCTGGTGACTTAAACAGGAAGTTTTCCTACGCAAAGTGTTTTCCTTTGCCCAACACACGAAAGCCCAGAAATAGTTTCTATGAAGAATGTTTCATTTGAATAAATGGTGCCTTAAGCTATATTTGTTGGTTGAAATTTAAAATAAAGAAAAGATATTCCAGGAGTTTAAGAAACTTGTTAGTACACACCTCAGAGCTTATTATATTTTGGAAGAAAAGTGCACTATCTTACTAATTTATACTCCCTCCGGTCCCAAAACAAATTCACTCACGGTTTACGATGCTTGACTGACGATAAAGCAACTTGATCCCTGTTCACGCTTGGATTATTTTTAGTAAATAAAATTTACATATTCAGAAACTACATTAAAACCGCTACAAAGTCTGATCAAGAAAATTTAAATTTGATAAAAATTTGATATATAAAGTAAAAGATTAAGAGTGATTTAAGTTGACCAATGAATAGTTAGTGTGAATTTGTTTTGTGACCGGAGGGAGTAGTTTCTAGTTAATAACTCTTTACCATCATAAAAACATCCCCTCATAGTTTGAAACAACATTCATACAAATTAGATTGATATTCATAAGTCTCGCCCCACTTCATACAAATTAGGGGATCTTTTTAATAAAAAGTCAACCTATTCCCTCTGGGCATTCCGGCACATCTCTTCTCTTTTGATTATCTTAATAGTCATACCTCTAAATATTACTAAATATGTTAGTGAATTAAAATGTGTTGTGATATTTATAAGGGAAAATAACTTTAAAAATTTATACTAAAAAAGTACGGAGTATCATATGAGCTCGCTTACTTTAAAAAATTGGTCACTCTATCCATTTAATCAGTTTTTGACCTCTAATAGCAAGTCTTTTGTATTAAAAAACTCTATAAAAATCATTGAAATTCGAAGAAATATTTGAAATTATTTAAATATTATCTAATATTTGAAATATTAGAATGTCAAAGCTAATATTCTTTCATTTTTGAAATTATTTGTATATTCTACATCTATTTAAAATGGTTTTACATTTTTTATTTTATATTTTTTACATTTTTACTTTATTTTTTCAGTTTTCTGATTTTTTGTTTGTCTATTATATTATGTATCTATTGTTAAAATTATACAAATTTCTATATTATTATTGCATTATTTTTCAAATTTATATGAATTTTTATAAGGTTTATCAATAGTCCTAAATTTTAAAAAATAATCTGCTATAATAGGACAAGGGTCTTGTGATGTTTTGAAAGTAAACTTACCTATGTGATGTTTTTTTAGAAGGGGTTTAGTGATGTATTGAAAATAGTGCAAGGGTCTTGTTGTTGTTGTTGTATCTCTATTTTTGTCTTTATCGTACTTGTTTTCATATCTTATCTTTTTTTCTTTTTTTTGTCTTTCTTTTCCGTTGGCTCCGATATCATATATCGATTCGTGTTAGCCGACCCCAAAATCCTTTTTGGGACAAAGGTTTAGATGTTGTTGTATCAGCTTATCTTTCTTATCTTTTTAGTTCCAATTTCATGTGTCTATTCATGTTAGTCAACCAGAAACTCATTTGGGACTATGGCTTGGATGATGTTGTTGTATTGATCTGCTAAAATCGTCAAACCCTTATAAAATGATACAAGGGAGGAAATATGTTTATGAACATTTTCCCTCTCCGCACCCAAGAAATTAGCATCAGGATCTCTCCCTCCCCTCTACTCTATCTGAAGGAAATAACATCAAAATCCCTCCCCTCCACTCCATTGAATCAAACCCTTCCTAAATGAACTCAGAACATGGCAGCATGCTTATGTTATTTATGTGTTCTCGTAGCCATATGTTGACGGTTTCTATTATAAACACTGGCACCTGAAACGTTGTCTATTGCAGATTGCAGATAAATAATTAGGGCATCCATCCCTTTCATCGGAGGTTTGAATGCATGCCTGTTGGTGTTTTCGACTGTTAACATGCAACCAGTGAATTATTGTGAAGTGTTATCATTATTAGTTTTTGTACTTCACAACAAGCCAGGCCAACCCTGTATAACAGTTTAGCTCCATGAATCGTGAAGAGTACTATTCTTATATGAATTGCTGGTAATTTTCTTCGACCCCTAGTGAAGTAGAGAGCCTACATCGTGCCTGCCTTTGTTTTTTTTTTTTTTTTGTTTTCGAACTATTCAAAATTTGTAAGCTCTACTTGAACAATATGTGATGGAGAACAATTCCACTAGAAGTAAAAGATACTACCACCTACCTACATGACCTCGATCCCTTTAAAGATATTGTCTAATTTTTTGGTTTGACAAATCTGGCAACTTTGATGTCAAACACCAAGGCCGGGTGATACAAATTTGGCTGTTGAACCATGATGATGATGTGTTTGTTGAGAGCCACCAAGGATCGTCATCCAAGTGCTGTTTGTACACGCCATGACACGGATAAAAAGTTTTATCGGTGAGAGATACTATTCTCTTTACAAAATGAATAAGATGTTTGTTATTTATAATATAAAAATGATTTTTGTTAAAATTACTCATAAAAGCACACAAAAATTTTCAAGAACGGATGAAGTATTGCCTAAAAGTATAAAGTCAATGCATTAGCATTTAGCAACTCTTTGAGTTGTAGTCGTCATCATTATTATTTTTATCACATAAAATGATAAAAGCATAAAACCAATGGAACATTAGGGATTAAAGTTAGGGGAAAATAATTTAAATATCCCAAATTTTGAACATGTGTGATATAAGTATCACAAACTTGCACATGTAATATGTATACTTCAAACTTTATATAGAAAGTTATGTTAGCACAACGATCGTATATTTTTTCAAGGGAAAAGTACGGAAAAAGTACTTGTGGTTGAACTCGTTTTTAGATAAGGTCATGTGTTTCATTCTTTATCAAAGTGGTTATCACAAGAGGGTCACGCCGTTAAAAATGTTTAAAAGATCGTTAAAATTAACTTTGATTTTCAAAAGTGCCCGAAAAATTAAAAGAAAAATACCGGAAGACGCTCCTCAATAAGATGACCGCTAGGCTATCTTTCTTTTTTGTTTTCAGCCACCCTTGTCACCGGAAAGTCATCGGAAAAGTGATATTATCGAAATAATTTTTAAAAAATAATTCAAACAGATCTGAAAAATCCAAATGAGAAGGTGGTTTAGAGGTCATCTTGATGATGCGCACCTTTCAGTATTTTTATTTTAATTTTTCAGTCACTTTTGAAAATTGGAGTTACTTTTAACGGTCTTTTTCAGACGTTTTTAACGGCGTTACCCTCTTGTGATAACGGAATTTAAACACATGAACTATTTTGACAAAGAATGAAACACATGACCTTATTTGAAAACGGGCCCAACCACAAGTACCTTTTCCGTACTTTTCACTATTTTCAAATGTAATTTTATGGTGTTAAGTACATAATTTAAAATATACAAAACATGTATGAGGATACAATTAAAATCAAATTGTACCGGATGTAAAATAATTTATTTCACAAATGAAATTTTAGAATGTTAACTGCATTCTAACAAAGCTTAGAGTATTTCAAATTATGTAATTATTCTAATAAATTTGTATTTGTAAAAAGCATACAATCATGATGGAAAAATAGTTTTTTATATAAAGTTCGGGGTATATATATTACACATGCAAGTTTGGGGTACTTATCTCACATCCCATTACAATTTGGGGTATTTAAATTATTTTTCCCTTTAATCTCTCTCTCTCTCTCTCTCTCTCTCTCTGTGTGTGTGTGTGTGTGTGTGTGTGTGTGTGTGTGCGTGTGTGTGTGTGTGCGTGTGTGTGTGTGAAACACACACACGCTATATACACTAATAACTAGTTCCTCAAATTTTAATTGTTGTTAAATTTTAATAGTTGCACACTTCATTTTATAGTTGCATTTAAGTAGTTCTTGACGTTGTAATTTGTAATTTTTGTAAAATTTTGTAACACAATGGAGCAGGGTAGGAAATCAGTTAATATGGGTAATCTCCAACGTAGTCGTTCAATGGAGATTGCGAGAGGTCATCCTTCAGGCTGGTCAAAAGGTAAACGACAAGTACGGGCAACATCTTTGTCCCAAACCCGTGATGAATGGGCAGCCGATTATAACCGTAGAGATGCCATGAGCGATGAGCAACTTAAGCAACTCTTGGAGCAAAACCAAGGCCGGTTTTTGCACCAAGAAAACCTCCCCGACATTAATTAAGAGTTGGAGGATGAGGACGCTGAGGAGGATCAAGGAGGTGGTGGGAATGTGGGGCACCAAGGCGGCAGAGATGAGGGTGTGAACAAGGCGGCGAGGATACCCCCGATGAGGAGGAGCAAGGAGGCGGCATTGGTTCATTCCCACCGGTCCAAAAACGTAAGTCTAAACTAAAATTTTTTCTTTTTGTAGATCATTTTGATAAGGTGAAGGATCTGACGGACGTCAAGTGGTACGTACATTTCAAACATTGTCAACAAATATTGTGTATGGCGATTTCGGCGGGCTACAACACAGTCCAAAGGCACTTGAACTCGAGGCACCCACAGAGGCGGAGGAAATGAAGGGTAAGAGCGTGTAAACACAAATATCTATATTTGCAAATGATGAACCCTTAGGTAATTTCTCTTACAATGATGAGGTACATTTAAAAGCAATGCCTGAGTTAATTTGTGAAGAAAATTTGCCTTTTGTTTTTTCCGTAAGTCTTGTTTTACGTGCTTATGTTCAAGGTTCTTTAAATCCACAATTTAGAAACTATAACCACAAAACAATTAAAAAAGAAGTCATTAAACAATATCTTTTGGAAAAGGAAATTTTAATTAATCTTTCCGCAAATTTAATGAGTGTGTGACTATTTGTAGTGATATATGGGAAGATAATTATCATAACTTGTATTTTTTGGGTGTTACTACACATTGGATTGGTGATGATTGGCAAATGCGTAAACGAGTTATCGTTTTTCGAGATTTTAATGAAACACATCGGTGATAATATCTATATTCTGATGGGGAACATATTTTAATTGAATATAATTTGGCTGATAAGGTGTTTGCTATTGACTTTCATAATGCTACTGATAATACTGCTGTTATACCTAGATTGCGTGAATTATGTGATCCTATTTTGGTGGATAGATTCTTTCATCAGCATTGTGCATGTCATACTATTAATTTATATGTGAAAAATGGCTTATCAGCATTAGGAATGTGATGAACAAAGTTAAGGGGGCTGTTGGATTGATTTGGGCTAATACTCAATTGAAAATGCAATAGCGTGCTTACCTAAGGCCCAAAAGTGTAAGGTATTGAGCTTTTTCCCAAAGATCTTTCTATTCATCGGAATAATACTTATAATTTAATTGTTGTGCTTCTTAGATTTAAAGATCATTTCCTCACTTTTATGAAAGAAACTTTAGTTATATAATAGAACCGATTGAGATCGACACGATGGAAAAGATTTGCAACATTTTAATTTATTTCAATAACATTACTCAAACTTTTTCTCATATGTATAAACCAACTAGTAACTATATTTTTTTTGTAGAAGCTCCTAATCTCGTTAGTGCTTTTGAAGAATTTTCTCAATCTACTTATGTTCATTATCTTTGTGATTACATGAAAGAAAAGTTTTTAAATATCTTACCTACATTCCACCCATTTATCTTATTGCTTTCTATCTTGATCCTCATTTCAAACTTTCTAATTATAAAACATTTTTAGAGTACTATTATATTGCTTTCTATGATCCGCTCCCTATGTACGATGAAACACGTATAGACTCTCAAGCCTAATTCAACAAGGTTAGTAATCCATTTCACGTTTTATTTAATGAGTTTAATGCACAATATGATAACTTACCCCCTCCCCCAAAATTGACCGCTTCTTCATCTAAAGGAAAAGGTCTTTTTAAATCAACAATATTTTGTCTTTTGTAAAAGTAAATCAACTCCTGCCGTTGCACAAAACTCGACTAACGAGCTATCTTTATACCTAACATTTTCTATTGAATATAATGAAGCAGACGAGTTTGATATTCTTCAATGGGGGAAGAGCCACGAAGGGATATATCTAATTTATAAAAAATGGCCAAACAAGTGTTGTCAATGTCGATTTCAACTGTTGTCGTGAAACAAGAGTTTAACGAAGTCGGCAACATTTTGACTGACTATAAAACGAGATTGAGCGCTTTATTTATTGAGACGCTCGTTTGCTTCTATGATTGGTTGAAAGCCCGTCGTAAAACACAATAAGTCAACATAACACCAGACCACCATCTCATGGAGAAGACAACAAGTCAACAACTTACACCGGAAGCGACTCAAACGATTGGTTCATGTATTTCAATTTTTAACTTTAAATTATTCTCAATTGTAATTTGAGAATGTGCTATTAATACAAGTCACAATGTTGTGTTTGAAATAAATATACATTTCTTTTTGTAATGTGTAAATTAATTTTTAACTTATTTGAAAAAAATTAAAGGCCCCGAACTGGACCGGAAGTGGGTACCATAGTAGTCCGGGTCGGTTACGATCTCTATATTTGGGATCCTGGACCATCCGGTCCGAGACGGAAACCAGATCAAGTCCACCCCTATTCAAGCAAGTTGAAGAATATACAGCAGATGGTTTATCCTTCGCGAATCAATGGCTTAAAAGTAGGGGTGGAGTGATGGACTTAGGTCAGTCTGGTCCCGATTTTGGATACCCGGGCAGGATCCTGGACTCGTTATAGTTTTTCACCAGGACCGAACCGGCACCAGAACCGCCCGGTTCGGACCCAAATATTGGAACCCGGTATAGGGTTGCCTAGTACCTGATCGGGTACCCAGTCCTGCACCAAGACCAGTTCTGGACCCGATCAGGTCCCACACAATAGCAAGCTAGTTCCAGACAGGTTCAGGACCACCGACCGGGTCCGCTCCTACTTCAAGTAATAGGTTAAATAATCGTTAAAATCATTTACAATTACTGCACCAGATTACAAGGGGCGTCTTAAATCCCCTATTATAAAATAGAAATTTCAGAAGTAAATGTCAGCCTGCTTTGATTGTGCTTTAAGGTCCTTTAACTTCTTGAGTATGTTTGTAAAATAATCTTGTAGGTATTTCTCCAGTGTAACTATGTCTTTTGCATCCACACCTAGAGTCTTGTACGTCTCCGCCATTGGAACAGAAAAAACCTCATCACTTGTCAAAACCTGAAAAATTACACCTACCAAAGATGTCATGTTTGGCCCATGGTGCTTGCGTAAGTGCGTATATAGTTTTTATGTTCTCTTGGAGAGCATTGTTGTCACAATTTCTACCATGCCACTAAGTGGATATTTGGCACGTCGGTTAAGCCCATTGACGACCCTTTAATGTACCAAACTACCAATAGCCCCATTGAATTCAGAGCTGATCAATGAAGTGGTTGAAGTTTTTTTGTAAACTTTTATGTTCAATCAATTCAATGCAGACTTGCATATTTTACAAATTTTCCATTTCTCAACATCTGATATTGTCCTTATATACTCCCTCCATATTTAAAAGTTCCCTACACTTTCCTTTTTGGTTTGTATTTAAAAGTTCCTTACACTTTCCATTTTTGGTAAGTTTTTCCTTTAAAAATACTCAATTACCCTTACTTTTTCTACTTTGTATCCTCTCTTTCCTACTTTTTCACCCTCTCCTACTTTTTTTCTATATTATTCATTACCCCTACTATTCTCCCTTAAATCTTGTGCCATAACCTAACGTAAGAATCTTTTAAATACGAAGGGGGTACTTTTTTTTCACGTGTTTTTTTACATTTAATTAAATATTTTACATTTTTTCAATCATTTTTTTGGCTAAATGGGTATACCTTAGTTAACATTTCAGGCTCAGAAACCCAAAGTCTAGCTGAAGACAACAATCCCCAACCTAGACATTAGAACTTAGCTTTGCTGGGGCATAGCTCAGCGATGGGAAAAGGGTACCACGATGGAGAGATCACGAGTTCAATTCCAAGCAAAGACTTGGGCTGGAACCCCATCCCTTAGGGATGGGGTGTCATCCTTTTTTACAGCTGAGCTTCAACTCATTGTGGCAGATAAAACTTCAATTTTTTCCCATTCAGTGCTTGTCTGATTTCAGGATCCTCCTGTCTAACTCTAACCCAATTGCTAGGAGGGAGTTTTGGTGGGTTATAAATACTGAGAGTCTGAACTAGGTATAGTTATTATGTGTCAAACAAAAAATGTAGTTTTAACTAAAAGAAGTGATCACACCTCTGAAAATGCCAATCGGTCAGCGGCATCATTTGTCCACTCAAAGAAACGAGTGAGTTGGCGTGTGAAACGCAAAACTGAAACTGGAACTGTGGTGACGTTCGCATCTTGCCCAGCCAGCCTCTCACACAATGTTATCACCTGTATGTATGTACATTAGTAGGGTTTTAAGCTACTAGCTAAACAGTAATGTATTGTTAAAAAACACATACACTTGTTCAAAGGCAGAAAGTGCTATAGACACCATAAAGTAAAACTTTGCAGAGACAATCTATCAAGCTGCTCAGTTTAGATCTATTACTTTGGTGCTACAAGCTAAAAACCTAACTTCTATAAAAAAAAATCTGTACACAATGCAAAAAGTGATTGGAGTAGTTTTAATTTTTTTATCCCAAAAGTATTACTAATAAAAATACTTCTGTCTAACCAACGAACAGATTTTCTTGTAAAACTTGCGGTCAAGGCAAAACTGCTATGAATCATTAATCAAAAATAAAATTACTTTGTAGGTTTAATCATATTTATAACACATAACTTGTCTATGACTTTTTTTAAAGGGAAAAGGAGCAAATAAGCCCTCGAACTAACCAAAAAAGTGCAAATCACCCCTTTTATAGGAGGCTCTGTTTCGGCCGTCGCCATTTGAGGCGGTTCCCGGCGGATTTTTTTGATGAATTTTTTTGAGCATCTTTTTCATTAAGTCTAGTTTACCCATAGCAAATTTCAGATAAAAGTTCAATCGTGAAGGCAGTCAAATAAATGTTTGAAGATAACTGCGCAGTTAAAAAACGGGGTATATTTCAGAAAATCATTTGACTGCCTTCCCGGTTGAATTTTTACCTGAATTGGGCATGGGTAAACTAGACTTAATGAAGAATTCATCAAAAAATTCCACAGGTAACCGCCCCAAATGGCGACGGCCAGACAGAGCCTCCTATAAAAGGAGCGATTTGCACTTTTTCGGTTAGTTCGAGGGCTTATTTGCACCTTTTCCCTTTTTTAAATTACATGAAAATTAGCCCATTTAATTAAACTCGACCTTTTCTTGTAAGATTTGCAATAGAGGGCTGAAAAGCTATGATGCATGGGTACTCTATGCAAAGCTCTTCAGAAACTCTTCAAAGACTTGGCTTTGTATTGAAAGATGATGTTCTCATTTTACATTCCTATGTTGCTGTGCGACATAGCTGAATAGAGATGGGTCTCAAAGTGAAAAGAGATAGGTCATAGGTCCCACATAATGGGATCCATGAGACCGTCTCGAGCATTTTATTTTGCACAAAATAACAAGTATGACAAAAACAATCTAATATTGTAACCTTAAGGAAACCTATTTTACCTCTTGGGTCGTCCATGCCCGAGGACCTGCAAAAGTTAGAAGCTTTCCATTGATATTCTCATTGCGCAAAGCTATGAAGGTCAATCGAGCAATATCCTACACAACGAAGGGCATACTACTACTTAGTTAAAAGACAAGTTGATCCTGTCATGGAACAAACCGATGAAAACTAACTTGGGTGTCCATATATGCGATCCGTGTAGGAGCGTCGGTTCCCCAGACAGATTTCTCTTCTAAAACAGGTACTGCATATTGCCCAATCAAACCCTGCAAAATGTTCAACATCAACATAATGGCTGCCTTGGAGCTATACTTTTTCACCTTATAATATTTTTATAAAACACTAATTTATCTGCTATTGAATTGGTTAATAATGAAAATAACAGGGATGGAGGTACTTTTTTACTAAAGTTCTGAGTTTTGTTAAATTTTTCTTCTGGTAGGGATATAATCATATAAGGTTTTAACAGGTATTGAGATGTATATGGTAGGGTAAGTGAATAATGAATAGTGTTGAGAAAGTGTAACAAGTAGGAAAGTAGGTGAACAAATAAAAAATAAGAAAGAGAAGGATAACTAATACAGCAAAAGTAGGAAATAGAAGATGAAAAGGTAAGGTAAAATCGTAAAAGTTGCAAAATGGAAACGAAGCAAATAGATGGAACAGATAAATAAATATTAAATAAAAAGGAGTATATTCTTCTTTATTTTTTCAACAAAATATAATTCTACATGGCTGAGCGACCCAGAAAAAAGGGGCGAGTCTGCTACATTTGCTACAGTTTTTCCTGAAATGTCTGAACTATTCATACAAATTATTTAAAATATATTTTCTTAATAAATTATTTAAATATAGAAATATCATTTACTTCAATTTCAGCCACTTCAAAAAAATACTAATTCATGGAATAACTCTGTTCATAAGCCGAGCATGAAGTTGGCCAAACTAACTCAAGATTGCTTTACAAAAGGAAAATTTAGTGATTGTTAACATGTGACTGGACGACAAGAATACCTGCATAAAACCACAGAGGCGAATAATTATGTGGTTCAGACCGGAATCTTGAAGAAACTTCTCGGTGCAGAACTTGATCTCCATGAGAGGAACTTCTGGATGCTTGTCACAGTTGTGGATTGAGAAAAAAATGAACTTCTGAATGCCCATTGCTTTTGCGCATTGCATTAGAGCAACTTTTCCTTCCCAGTCTACCTAAATGGTTTGAATGGACCCATTAATTACTGAATACCCCCAGTAATGGTACCCGGAGCAATACCTAGATGAGTAAATATTCCACTTTTCATCCCCATAACTATTAGGTAATTTCCAACTTTCATGTTTTCACTTGGGAAGTGATTATGGATGTTTTTGCCACTTCATATCATTCTAGTTGCATATCTCAGTGAAAAAACCAACCTGGATATAGACAGGTTAAGTGACCAAAAGGACTACTGGCAATTAAAGAAACCATAAATATGCACCAAAATCAAAATAAATAATGGGAGTTGATTACCGCAAGTGAAATTGATCTAACAATCATGGGAGCGTGATAGAGGATCAAAATTGGAATGCTTTCTTGCAAATTTTGTTTTTTGTACCCCATCATTTCATACTACGTATGACATTACACCACAGAGCACTCTATAGTGGGTGATTTCTATTAAATTTTAGCCTCAATCGTTAGACTTTGCACTTCCAAATCTACCTTAATGTTTGACTTAGCATCCCACTCTTAGGTGCCAGATGCCTAGATTTCTTTATTTCTTTTTATCACACAATGTTTTGTGAATTAACCAAGTGCAAAACCCATGGGACACTTACAGTTTTTATGGGCTCTTCAGGACGACCAGTAGCACAGTCAATAACTGTATGGATCCCAACCAATGTAGCCGGTATTGTCTCTGGTTTGCTCAAGTCTGCCTGATCACAACAACCACTGCTCTAACTAACTTCAAGATGGTGCAGATGAAGAGTAATTTCATCACACGATAAATGTCTATCTAGGGGTGGGTACACATAGTTAGGTAACTGAGTGAACCAAAACAAACAATTGGACACGCGCTAAATACAGAGCCAGTATTTTGGTTGGTCCTGTCATTTGTTTGTAATTGCAGTTACATTTTTTACAAAAACTTTATTTCAGTAATATTTTAGAAAAAATAAAATAAAAAACATTTAATGTTTCTAGTTTTCTTAGATTATCCTTGACAACAGTGATAAATATATCAATTGTAATGATATTAATGCCAATGGTAGTTATAAATAAAATTCTAATTACCTTTTTCTTTGAAATGAACTGTTTTTTCCAAAATTTGAAAACAAAACACATTAATTGCTTCTTATGGATGCGCTTGAGTACACACTTGAAGAAAATCGTTGAATGATGCATCAATTCAATAATCTACACACTTGGTGTGGTAAAAAATACGGAGTATACTTTGTTTTTAGTTTGTCCACGACTTTGCAACTTCAGTTTTATGATAAGCCTTTCCGAATAAGAAAAACAATTGCCACCTTAAGGAGAATGATGAAGGGTAAAGAACTGACATTGACAACAGTTGCACCCCAATCACGGAGGAAGTCAGCAGGAGTAGGCCTAGCCCGAACGAGGCACCTGACGTCATACCCCTCATCTAGAGCTCTCCTCACAATCTGCCTTCCTAGGGTTCCGGTAGCCCCCACAACCATTATGCTCGTGGGTCTCACCGGAGTTCCAGGAGCCATGTTGAAAAGATTGCTATGGGAATCGCACACAATTCTCCTCACGCTACGATTTCTGCCTGAATTAAACACTCCGTCCCTTCAAAACGCAGGTCTTCACTCCAAACAACAGAATATAGGAAAGCTGAGTAGAAGGAACAATGAGAGGAGAGCGGCGATCGTACCTCTTGAAGAAGAATGAGGGTGAGAGAGGAGAGGCGAAGGCATCTCGCGCCTAGAGGTTAAGGAAGAGTGGTTGTGTGCAGCGGAATGTTTGGGGCAGTAAGTGCTGCTGAGTTTGGGAAGGTGTGTGGCGGTGGCATGGAGAGGGGATGCCATCACGCCGGTCCGGTCACGACGTTGATTAGCTGTCTAGTCTATTGAAGAATGTCATACAACGCGCTCAGTGTATACCATACCTGTAGCTGCGAATTGGATTGAAGGCGGAAGAAGTAGAAGCCAGAGAGGAGTCCAGGCGTGACAAACAGCAGATGTGAAATTTGCCACGTCCTCACATTAGAAATATCAAGGGCATTTTAGTAATCGTATGTTTTTAAAACAACTACCTACAAAATTAACTTCAATTAATGTTGAGTTAATATGCTGGCTTCCTTCATTTTCAAAACCGAAGTTTCTCCACTCTCCTAAACTTCCATAAGTCTGAAAAATCCTCAACCATCGTTCGAACAATGAGGATCCGTCCGGACAGACGGAGTGAAGGAGAAGGAACAAGTGTTGAACAACGTTCGCCAACAAATGCTAGTGATAAAGGTAAGAGGCTAAACTTTTTCTAAAAAAAAGTGGAAGAAAGTAATGAATACAAGGCTGAAATGAGGTGTATATAATTGGTGTTTGCACATGTTAGGGGTTTTATGTTGAGGTTGAAAAAGGGGTTTTTTTAAGAGTGGAAGAACCTAACATGTGCAAACACCAATTATATACACCTCATTTCAGCCTTGTATTCATTACTTTCTTCCACTTTTTTTTTAAAAAAAAGTTTAGCCTCTTACCTTTATCACTAGCATTTGTTGGCGTCTTGGCGAACGTCGCACTTGTTCCTTCTCCTTCACTCCGACGGTCCGGACGGGTCCTCATTGTTCGAACGATGGTTGGGGATTTTCCAGGTTGACGGAAGTTTGGGAAATTGGAGAAGACTTCGATTTTGAGAATGAAGGAAGTCGGTGTATTAGCACAACATTAATTGAAGTTAATTTTGTAGGTAGCCGTTTTAGCAACATACAATTACTAAAATGACCCCAATATTTCTACATAAATGAGTTTCCGATTAAAATTTGCCGAAGTTGTGGCCGGAAGGACGACGGGTGGTGAAGGGGAAAAGGTCACGGACTAGATTTGGTTAAATTGAAAGTCAAGGGAGTAATGTGGAAGTGGCATAATAGTCATGGGACCAAAAGTGGATTTTTTTCGATAAAAAACCTATAAATGCTATTAAATGACGCAACTAACCTTCATTAATTGCTTTCCGGTTAAAATTTGCCGGAGTTGTGGTCGGAAGGACGACGGGTGGTGAAGGGGAAAATGTCACGAATTAGATTTGGTTAAATTGAAAGTCAAGGGAATAATGTGGAAGTGTCATAATAGTCGTGGGACCAAAAGTGGAATTTTTTCAATAAGAAAACCTATAAATGCTATTAAATGACGCAACTAACCTTCATTAATTGGTTTGCGGTTAAAATTTGCCGGAGTTGTGGTCAGAAGGACGACAGATGGTGAAGGGGAAAAGGTCACAGGTAGATTTGGTTAAATTGAAAGTCAAGGGAGTAATGTGGAAGTGGCATCATAGTCATGAGACCAAAAGTGGAATTTTTTCTTTGCAATACGCACTCGTTGGATATGTCATATATAATGGATGCCACGTCCAACAAGTACAGGTACACTTGTAAATGAATCAAATAATTTATACTTGATTCGAATTTGTATATAACTATTTGAGTTCAAAAAATTCAAATATAAATACAAACGGAGTATAACGGATGCCACGTCCAACAAGTACAAGTACAGTCGTAAATGAATCAAATAATTTATGCTCGATTCGTGATTCAAATTTGTATATAACTATTTGAGTTCGAAAAATTCAAATATAAATACATACAAATAAGTACTAAATTTGATTCGAATTGTTATCAAATACAAATAAGAATATCAGTGTATTCGATTCAAATATTAATCAAATATATTCGATTAATAATAGTGATAATATTATAATATTATTGATAATAATAGTAGTAACATTATAATAACTTTTAAAAGATAGTTATACACTCAAAGTGTATTCCATATATCTTAACCTATATTATAAAGGACAATTTTTCATATTAAATGCTCTTTCATGTTTTATCATATTGTACATTTTGTCACTGGGGTTGTACTGCTACTATCCAGATGAGTTATATCACTTACGATGTTATACTGTTTGTATAACGGTGTTGAGTTATACACCTTGAGCAAATTAATACACAATAGCACACTTCTGAACTTTGGCTTCATACATTTAAGATGCTGAAGCTAATAGGTATGCATTTCATGAGTGTGGATTATTTTCCAAAGTTCCTAATTAATATGGCGACTTCTGGAGTTCTCTTTATTAAGATGTTAAAATCCTTCTTATATGGCCTTAGAAGACAAGATGATGAGGTTTCCGCCTTTTAATATCCATCTTCCATATTGGTTTGGTTTTGGGGGGGGGGGGGGGAGGTAATTTTATCATGTCTGTCTATAAGTTGCTAATGATTAGATGCCGGATTCAGGGCCCGTTTGGTAACACCTAAATCTGCTGTATCGGCTGATGCTGCTGAAATTTATGAAGTTCTGACTGAAGCGACTGTATTGGCTATTCAGCTGATTTGTGAAAAAATATATTTTAAATATATTTTAGAAATAAAATAAATGAAAAATTATATGATAAAATAGCTAAAACGATCCTCTACAGTAGTTTCAGCCAATACAGCCAGAGAAGTAACTACAACCTTACTTTTTCTTATTATTACACAATTCAGTGCGCGAAACCAAAAGTTACGTTTTGATGAAAAAGTTGGCTCATAAGCTTGAAAAGCAAAAAATTATGGTTACCAAACGGGTTCTCATTCAACTTCATGTAAATGTTTGTTGGCAGATGAATTGAACACATCTCATCAATTTGGTACAAATTGCTCACCTGAAAGTAGTTTGTTTTCTTCAATTTGAAAACAAAATAAAAAACATTAGAGGTTTTTTAAATAAAAATCAAACTGATACATTTGTAATTTCCATATTTATGTTTGTGTTTTAATTAGTTTTGCTTGATCTTTACTATGGAAATTACACACTTTTGGTGTAATAGATTAGTTTGTTAAATTCTTGTAAATAGTTTAGATTAGATATATTCTGAGCTCAAACAGGTCTTGATCACTCGAAGTACAGTTGGTGAATCAAGGGATGTTCACGATCCCACTTAAAAAAAATTGAGAAAAAATGAATAACGTCGTGCCACGACGTTAACTAAGGCGCTTCTTGGGAGGCAACCCAAGTTTATTTTTATTTTTCATAAATTCGAGTGTTTTTAATTCATTTTTTTATTTAATTATTTGAGAGATCAGTGAGAGGGAACTAATCACGGGTTTTTGGAGAAAAAGAAATAGAAAATTGCAGGTTTTGGAGCATCTGGGGACATACCCGATCGAGTACCACCTTATACTCGGTCGGGTATGGCCAAAAGAAGGGGAACCGGACATTACTCGATCGAGGAAGCATGGATTTTTTAAAGAAAATAGACATACTCGATCGGGTATCACTATATACCCGGTCGAGTATGTACAGAAAGTCGAAGTACCAGGGGAACTGATGCCCATATTCGGTCGAGTACAGGGCTCGAAAATTGAAAAACAAGGGATACCCGATCGGGTATCACTATACACCCGGTCGGGTATGTACAAAAATGCTAAAGTTGAAGGAAACTGATTCCCACACTCGACCGAGTACATGCCTCAAAACGTAGAAAAAAACACATACCCGATCGAGTATAGAATGATACCCGACCGGGTACCGGAGGCAGACCACTCACAAACTTCATTTTCCAGCAATACTCGACCGGGTAACATCACATACCCGATCGAGTACCGGAGGCAGGCTGCTCAAAAACCCCACTTTCCAGACATACCTGACCGAGTAACAGCACATACTCGATCGGGTATACGGGCGTTATAACCCCAAATCCACCCCAAACACTTCATCTTCCCCAAAATCCCCAACCCAAATTCGAACAAAACGCCCCCAACCTCCATTTTTACATCTTCTCTCTACCATATCTCCTCCATTTCTTCACCAAATCATCCCATTTCAATACCAAAACACTCCCCTCATCTTCCTCTACACACTCATACCCACCAATCCAATTCTCCCCCAGTTTTCAGAGGTCCGAAAAAACCCTACCCCCACCTTCAAATTTCGGATTTCAAGCCCAAATTCACTCAAAAATGGCTCTAATGAAGGAAAAAGGACAGAGCTCCAACACTAGAGCATCCATCCCGGGCTACGAGGACACCATCTTCATGGACAACGAGAGATAACATTCCTTCTCAAAATACAACGAGAGATAACATTAGATGAGAAAAAAATACATGAAAAATTGGGAGGCTAGACATGACCCAATTAAGAAAATACATGAAATAAAAAATAAAGGGCTAAAAAAGGTTCGTCCTATGAGACACTAACCAAACTCTTTTCCCAACTCCTATGAATATATAGAAGATCATACAATCTTAACAAAAAGGATCATGGTAGAATTGTTTTTGTTGTATCAATAGAATCGTTAATAAAAAAGGAATTACGATTGATAAAAAAAGAACAAAAAAAAACAATTTAAATCTTATCAAAAAAGAAACGAGTAAAAGTGCTAAATAAAAGGTACTGCAACTTTCAAAAAAATAAAAGGTACTACAAAAGATCATACAATTCCAAGAATTCCCGATAAAGTAAAATAAAATTGGATCAATGGCAATGGACTTAGATATTGATCTTTCAGTCCTACTATTTGTACTCATTCTTATACCCACATCTGTGAACTTCACAGTGTGAAGACTTTTTTGTCTGTGAATCCACCTCACAGATAAAAAAAGTCTTTCACAGACATAATGGGTATAAACGTGAGTATAAGGATGAATACAAATATCATTTTTCTTGATCTTTTCAAGTTTCACAAAAAATGCAAAGATTTTGTGATTATTTATGGTGCAACATTGACAGGTACGTGTTTTTTGGTATTACTTCCGTTCTTTTGGAGTTTGTTAACTTTAAATTAGGTCAGAGATAAGAAAAATAAAAATCATACTCCGTATAAATTAATTACTTTATTAATGAAGAGTGACAATTTTTTTGTACGGTCAAACAAAAGAAAAGTTGCCAAAGGCCAATGGGAAGACAAAAGTATAATTTTGTGGAATATTTGTTCTTTTCCATTTTAAATACTTTTTATATTTTGGTATTGTCTTTGGGCTCTTCTTTTTGTTGATGGTTCGAATGGTAATGACATAATATTTCTTAAGATCACAGTTAAAGTTTTTTATAAAAGTGATATGAGCAATATGTGCAATTTTCATATTTCTGATGATGTAACTATATATAAAGTTAAAAACATAATAAGATCAATCATATTCATCAAAATCAAAAATTAAATTAAAATACCAGAATGGAAGTTTAACATTACTAAAGAACTATAATTTATCCTATAAGAAATTTATCATATATCCAAATAGTTCATTCTCATCTCGTGTGTTGCCTATATAAATGGAAGGGCCACATTTCTTCGAATAATAGATGTTGAATTTTTTTAATAAGAGAAGTTGGGGTTCATCTAAACAAAGAATTGGAGGATTCAGATGTAAAGATGGCCCAAAGGAAAATAAGTATCTATTGAATGCACCGATCCTAAACGATAAAATCAAACTTCATGTGTGTGTTTATTTAATGACTAGCCCTGGTACGCCCCATGGGCGAGGGGTTGTGCCCAATGTTTACATTTTCAATTAATTGTCAAAAAATGTTTTATCTGTCTTGAATTAACTTAAATGGAGAATTAAACATTATAAGACATTAATAAAGCCTCACAAGAGTATAGAGAGTGTGAACCAGTTGAAGTAACCTAACAATACCCAACAATAAGACAGTTCAAAATCAAGGATAGCGAGATGCATAACTGTTAGAATGACAACCAAATACCATTAGTTACTCAAATAGACATGGCCAAATACAGTTGAACTGTATTATTTACTTACTTACATTGATAATAAACTGGTTTTTAATTATTTATTGCAACAAATAAAAAGCAGTTATATAACTATTGATGAGAAATCCACTGTCTCAACTATACGATGTCCAAATAAGTGCGGTCAAGCAATTCCAACTAAACATAAAAGGTTTTTCAAAAGATCATCCAACTAAAAAAGTGGGGTTTCCATCTACAGTTAAATATATGTATATCAGGGGAAATCTGCCATCCACTTGAATGCATGGATTGTTTTAAGGAGGAATCAATGCAATAGGTTATTGTCCTTACATGTACTGTTAAATATGTGTGTATCAGGGGAAAATATGCTATCAACTTGAATGCATGGATGTTTATGGAGGAGACTATATTCAATAGGCTATCGTACTATCAACTTATTAAGTGTTTATAGTTTTTATAAAACCACAAGACAAAGAATTATAATTATAGGTAATGAATTACAATAACAATAGATAAATTCAAATGGGGTTCTAATACTTTTTTTAAAATCCAGTTTGTTTTTATGGATTAAAACCAATCCATTTTATGTTTACTTTTATCAAAACATACAAAAAACAAATAAAGATTTATTTATGGCCAGCTTACAAAATACCAATAACACAACCAAAACATCCAATTGCATCCCTTATATGAGAGGAACTACATCCTTGAAAATCCCAAATGAAAAAACGGTTAAACTCATGGTGAAAAGTATATCACCAAGCACTTGGTGTTTTTAATCGTGATGGTAAATGATAGTAGAGTGCAGAAAGACAGAATTCTAATCAAACAAAATACTACGTAGTTAACTTACCTTAACTTTTTTCCATCATTCATGCCTGTGTTCGCAGTAAAATTCTTTTATGATTAATAATTCTTTTAAAAAATCTTTTCATTAACCAGTAACATGATTCATCCTAATTAAATAAGTGGGGTGCGATATATTAGAATTGTTTTTTGGATGAACCTGTAAATATATATCATCCGAAAAATAACAAGTACACATGTGTCCAAAACTATAAGGCAACCTACCAAACAATGTTGGTCACCAACAAATCAAGCAAGACACACACCCAAGAAAGGGTCGGTCCAGAAACAACCAAGGCAAAAAGCCATCAGAGGGTGTTGCAAACTGCACACACCAAAAGTTCAACAAAAACATACAGTATAGTTGCGATATATTAGAATGGTTGTATAGAATGGTGTTATAAAACTGTTATTTAGTTATAGTTGCTTTTAATCACGATGCTCTGAGATGCTTGTACAAAATGGTTGGGAAAACACACAGGTGGTGGTGGGTGTTTATTAAGTTTGGTTTTTTTAACTGGAAGTAATTCTTACCACCAGCTGGACAAAACATTCAGACAACAATGAGTCTTATACACCATGATATATGTAACAAGCTTTCAACGAAAACCTATTGACTCTCAATTTCCTCCCCTGCTTATGTTCATGGGATGAAGATGAATCCTACGGAGTAAAACTTAAGGTAAAAATGATTGAAAAATAAAACAGAGCATATTATATGAAAATCTAAAACAAATCACCCCAAAACAAGTAAGAAAACACAAGATAACTGGGAGCAAATCAAATCAAGTTCGGACCTAATAATAGCACAAAAAACCAGGGCAAAATTAATAACACTTACCAACAAAGGAATGAGTGAATGATCTTGAATGTAAAGATGAGATCTTGAATGTAAAGATGGGAGAGAAATGGGGGATTTGAGTGTACAATTATCCGTGTGTAAAAGATAGGGATGGAATGAACACCGCAAGTCTGCCGATAAACTAAAAGAACACTCCACAGCCTAAATTTAAGGAGAACCATAGAAAGCACATGTTTCAACAGTGAGGCTGACGACAGAACCGTGGATGGAAGATGAGTTTTGAGTTCAAAAGGAGGAAGGGGATTAAAATAAGGAAGACTGGAGACGGATGGTATGAACAGATAAACAGAAGCTTGACATAACGGAAAATGGGCGGAAATGGGAGACGGCCATCCAGGTGACTCTTTATATAAGCAGGAGATAATGATAAAAATCAGCTTTTAATATAGATTTCTATTAGCAAACCTTAAATGAACTTTAAGAGCCCGTTTGGTAAGCTTGTTTTTCGGCTTCAGGCTTATTAACCAACTTTTCACCAAACGCGTGTTTTTTGATTTCGCGCGCTGAATTATGTAATAATAAGAAAAAGTAAGGTTGAAGTTATCTTTCTGTCTGTATTGACTGAAGGTCCTGCAGAGAATCATTTTAGCTTTTTTAATATAATTTTTTATTTATTTTATTAATAAAATATATTTTATGTATAATTTTTTTCATAAATGAGCAGAAACAGCCAATACAAGCACTTCAGCCAGAACTTCATAAATATCAACAGAAAGAGCCGATTCAGTGTTACCAAACAGGCTCAAAATGTCTATTACTGAATATGCAATAATTCATTAATGGTTAACTATGCAATGACCATTCATTAATAATAATTAATAAAGAAAAACGAGAACCAATCGTTGGAAAATGTTATCATCTTCCTCTGTGACCCTAATCCTTTTTTTAGGTATGAACGGTTGTATGTGGCGACGGTCTCAAGAGTAATGTAAAGAAGTATACAGAGTATAATATTTTGTAGTTTGCCTTGATAGTTTCATCGACTTATATATACGGAGTACATGTTTTTCATCGTGTGACATCTACCATTTATTTCTTAAATTGCAATTACAAAGACATTTTGTTTTAAAATTTATTTATATACTACCTCCGTCCAAATTGATTTGCAAATTTGACTTTTCTTGGTCAAACAATTTCATTTTATTTGTTTAATTACGATGTCAATTTTTAATTATATTCTAATTTGGAGTTTACAACTTTGAAGAGATTTCAACGTAGTTTCTGAATATATAAATTTTAATTATTAAAAATTGAATTAATTATCGATTGGGAGCATTGATTTTTTTTATTGGTTGACAAAAAAATGTTGACTTTGCAAAGTAATTTGGGATGGAGGGAGTATGTAGGTCACTGTAACTAGTTTTCTCTTTTAAAACCCATCCAACATTTTTACTAGAGTTTTGCTAGAAGTACCTCATTTGATACCTCAATTGTATCCATTCATATATTTGTGGTTTACAAAACCCCAACACATTAAATGAAGGGAAAGTTCCCGAAGTAGGACTAAAACAGTTTCAAAATTTCAAAATAGGACTGTCATATTTTTTATTCCCAAAATAGGATTAATTACTGCCATGCTTAGAAAATACTGACATGTTTGAAGTCTGGTACTGCCAAAACATGACAATAATTAGTCCTATTTTGGGAATAAAAACATGGTAATCCTATTTTGAAATTTTCAAACTGTTTTAGTCATATTTCAGGTAATATCTCTTAAATGAATTGCTCAATTTAAATGAAGTGGCTTTGTGAAAAAGAAATATAAGGAGACACTCCGTACTACATAGATCAGAATCCGGAACTAATCCCTTAACCGACTGGGTAAAGCCTTCTGGTTCCACTTTGACTTTCTCCCGTTCTCTCCGGGCGGAAGAGCTAACAACAAAGGCTAAAAACGAATTGGCTTCGCTTTTCCCCCGGTCCACTGTCTCCCCTCCCGTTTTGCTTTGTATGCTGTGGAAGTGCATTGGTAAGAAAACTCCATCTTTTCCATTTCGATTTTCCCCTAAGCCAACAATCATCGGTTTACGCATTATATATATCATGTCATTATTACGTGCTATTTTGTAATCGACAACAAGTCTGCTCCCTTCATTCATTGTTAATTTAATATATTTTGATTGATATTGCTTAAGATGTTCTATCCTGACCATTGCTATATTTTACAGAATCTAAGGGGTCTTTGCTGTTATCAATTAGCTTTTGTGGCTGATAAGTTGATTATAATTACATTAATAATTAATTTGGGATTAAGCTTCCTCTTGATTAAGCTTATATCAATTTAGGAGTTTGAGTACTTCGAGCTAATGTAGGCTTTGCATTATCATTGTTAGAACTTGGAACCTTATAGTACGATGCTATGTGCCCTCTGACCCTCGTTTGGTTCAAAAGAAGTGAAGAAAACTGAAGATTTACAAGGATGTTATGTTTTGTTCAATGGAGGAAGCTACAATGGATTTTTATTTTAGAGAAATATCTAAACTATTTTTTGGCTTGGGAATATGATGGAATAAAGCAAAATGGCTCACTAAACTTTCTGCGCTTCTTTGTTATGAAGTAACGGTCAACCTATGCAATTTTCGACGCGATTTTCACTACGGGTCATTCGGAAACAGTCTCTCTGTGTTAGTACAGGGGTAAGACTGCGTACATCCGACCCCCTTACCCCACCATAGGTGGGAGCCTTTGCGGCACTGGGGTAATGATGATGATGATGATGACCTAAAGATAATATACAAAAACAACAACATGACCCCATCGCCGCAAAGGCTCTCACCTATGGTGGGGTAAGGGGGGCGGATGTACACGGCCTTACCCCTGTACTCAAGCACAAAGAAACAAAGAAACTGTTTCCTGATGACCCATGAATACCTCAGTCCTATTAGCCAATGTATTCATGTATTCATTTCTGGTACTTAAAAATACAAAAGTCTATATATAACAATAAAAACGTATAACAATCTTAAGAATAGCAAATTCAAGAAAAACCACTCCTCCAAAATATTCCAAATTGAGGTAGTGATATATGAGGTGTTTGGAAGAGTCCACAATTTGTAGACTTTCCTGCCCTCCCTCATATCCCCACCCAACAAACCGAGCACACATCATCCTCCATTTTCCACCCCTTCCCTGTGAAGCCCTCCATCCAAACAAGAGCTAATTGCTTTGTTGATACTTAATTATTTATGAGGAATGACAGTTCACCATAAAGTTGATTTTGTTTCGGTATTATTCTGAACTTGTGGTCTCATATTACACGTTTCATGCAACTGGTACTAAGATTCTTTATTTTGCATTTCACTTCTTGGGCTCCTCTTTTGTTGGACACTGTGTGTGATGCGCTACATGAGACTGTATTGCATCTCAGGGTTGGATTGTGTTAAGGCTATGCTTGGAGCTCGGAAAATTGTAGGAAAGGGAAACATTAATGAGTTTTTTCTAATGTTCAGTCTTACCTTGGAAAATATGACAAAAATAAAATCTGTATCACATATTTAAATTTCTTGGTCTGTGTATGATAATACTTCCTCTGTTCGGTTTTAAATGCAACATCCAAGATGGCATGGGGATTAAGAAACTTAGATTAAGAGGCCGTTTGGTAACACTATTTTTCGGCTTATCAGGCTTATCAGCCAACTTTTCCACCAAACACGTAACTTTTGTTTTCGCGCGCTGAATTGTGTAATAAGCAGAAAAAGTAAGGTTGGAGTTACTTTTCTGGCTGTATTGGCTGAAGTTACCGTAGACGATCATTTTAGCTATTTTTACATATAATTTTTTCTTTATTTTATTAATAAAATATATTTTAAAAGTATTTTTTTCTTAAATCAACAGAATCGGCCAAATCAGCCAATTTTCGTGCTACCAAACGGGCTCTAAGTGTTGTTTCTTCCCATTCTACCCTCAATTGCTATTATTATTGCAACACGTACTGTCAAGCTACCTATACCATTTTTTTTTCTGCAAGAGTCTATCTATGGACTATGGTGCTCCTTCTCTTTCATATCTTCCGGCCAAATGAGCTAGAAGTGTATAATAAAGCTCTCCACACACAAAATCTGGTGGTGGTTTATCAACAAAGTCGGGTTCCAACTTCATCGACTATAAGGATTTTCTCCATCTTCGATTCTCTTTGATATAGCCGTGCCGATTTCTCTTAAAGTGGCTGTCGAGTAACTGGAAAAACTTAATTTGTGTTGCCTCTAGTCCGATCATGAAAGGAAGCTGCCGGAGCAAATGAATTTGCATCTTTCGATGTTGTCGGTTAATCTTTATACACCGCTTAGAAACAAAACGAAAATCGTATTTCCAAAAAGCAAGAAGATGTGGAGTGGAATGAAATGATAGTTCTTCACATCACATGGAAGAACAAGAAAGAGATTTTACACATAATATAACCCATAAGAGAAAAGTGGAAGAAGATGAGAGAGATGAGAGGTTACTGAGGGCTTGGCTTATGATAAAATCATTTGTTAGGTGAGAAGAATAATTTGGGTGGATATTGATTTATATTAAAAGGCTGTGAGTAGGGGTCTTGTAGTCATTTTTGGCTATTTGTTCTTACCAAAAATAGAATGTTGCTATTATTTTGAAACTGCCGAATAAGGGAAGTGTTGCAATTATTAAAGAACGGAGGAAGTATTATTTAAACATAACAAGCTTCAACAATTATCTTAAAGAGTTAATGAGTTTCAAACATTTGTTATAAACCCCATTTTTCTTTTCTTCCAAATATCCTCCCTATTTCCTTCCCTAGTGTTTATCGAGTTCCAAATGGATCCTAAATGTTTCATATTTTTCCCCAGATGGAGCAACAAATAGCAGTTTCTTATAAAGCCAGGGAATATGGGGTAAATACTGAAAGCAAGACACCATCAGTTCTAGGAGTTACTAAAAGAATTACAATGCAGGAGGAGAATGGCCCCCCCAGTAGTGAAGCTTCTAAGATTTGCGGTTCTAAAAGAACCATTCCGGATCGTCCTGTAGGCAGCAGTGATTCTGGAAACAGGCATCTGGTGTATGTCCGAAGAAGACCCGAAATGCAGATGAAGGAATCTAGTGTTCGTGTACCAGAAACTATAGAAATCCCAAAGCCTTCAGTTGTTTCTTCTTCTTCTGAGAAGTGCAATAATTTTTCATCTAATTTTGGTAATGCACATTCGTTGGATACTACTAAGAGAGCGAAACTTAAACAGTGGGAAGAGCGGTATTGCCAGTTGCAGAATGTCTTAAATAGTTTGGACCAATCAAAGCAAGAGGATTACATCCAGAGTATGTCCTCTCGACACCCAATCAGCTTCAACTTCTAAGTGTCTGCTTGGGGAGATGGTTTTAGAGGGGTTGACTGAAGGGCTTAGTCTACATAAAGGGCAGCCTGGTGCACAAAGGTATTGCCTCAAGGCGAGGGTCCGGGGAAGGGTCCCACCACAAGGGTGTATAAGGGGCAAATCTTCCCCTGTCAAATTTTGACAAGAGGCCGCTCCCAAGACTTAACCCGTGACCGAGGTCATACAACAACACCTTAACCGGTGCGTCCCTTCAGGGCTTAGTCTACATATTGTTAAATATTCAATATTTTATAAGTATTGAAAAATTAACATAGTATGTGGTCAAATAACAACTGGATCACCTTTTTTCCCGTTGTTAAAAACATTTTATTTATCAAGATATAGACTAAGCCTCTGAAGCTTGTCCCTCCAAAATTATCCATCCAAACAGATTCTTAATGTTGACATTTGGCATTATTTTGGCTAATTCTTAGCCATGCCTTCATATTTTCAATTCAATCTTTTCTTGGCCAGTGCTTAGATCTCTCTCTTCAGTTGAGCTCAGTAAACATGCTTTGGAACTGGAGAAGAGGTCAATACAGCTTGCATTTGAAGAAGGTAATCCAAACACTCACGTTTGCTTTTTATTACGGCCCTGTTTTTTTCCTGTTATTCCCACTTAGATCCTGAGCCGAGCCCAAAATCTTTTGGGAATAAGGCTTGGATGTTTTTGTATTCCCACTTAGATCCCTAGTGGAAAAAGTTAAAACCACATTTAAGGCGGGGAACGTTATCTGTTAATTTTCATTACTCGCTTCAAAAGGATAGGCAACTGATATGAGACTCAATACACCACCCCCAGTGGGCCACTAATCTTAAGTTAGCCCAAACAGTTGTGGGGTGTGTGTCTCGCATATCACCATCAGACCATAGCTGGATACCATGTTATCTAACTCACTTAAAAAAGGAATCTTAGCAGGAAGGATCTCTCTCTCTCTCTCTCTCTCTCTCTCTCACACACACACACACACACACACACACACACACACTAGACTCAAACCGGACTACAGATGTGGGATATCAATAGTCGATGACCGCTGTAATAAGAAGTGAATGTAAGGATGTGACTACGCGATTGTATTTGTTTTTCCCAGTAAAATCTGTAATGTGCTATAAGTTGTGATTAAGGAGACAAGTTATGATATGTATTAGTAATTATTGGTATTAAATTGAGTTCTGTTGCTCAACCTGGGTCAGGAAAAGAGATGCGATGGGTCAAAGTGTTGGATGTCATGGGGAAAGATTGGAATTCCAGTGCTTGTTAAATACTTCACCGATAAAAGAGACTGAACAAGAAAGTTGTAGGAAATATCCAACTGTATTGATGATTTAGTTTTTTAAAGCCAAAGGTTGTGTGCATAGGGCAAGTCTGGTTTTAACGTCAAACAGTCGAAGTAAATAATGTTTGTGTTATAAGATTTTTATTATCTGACTGCCAGGCTGATCTGTAGCATTTAACACACACTCGTGTAGTATAAATATACATGACAGTAATTTTTGATTCATTTTGAAATCTACTAATGTCTATATTCTCTTGTAACATGTACAATAATAGTAGAATTTATAACATTGCTACTTCTATAGTTATTCTGGTAAAAGTTTAGCTACTAGATTGAGAAGGTGCGAGAGATCAAACCGCAAAACGAAAGAACCAAAATATATTGGAAAATGGATTCTCCTGTAACGTGTACAATAATAGTTGAATTTGTAACATTGCCTGTATTTTCAATTTCAGACAGAACTAGTACCAACTGGTCCAGTTTTGTTCCCCCCCCCCCTAAAAATTAGGTTTAAATACCGGTTGGGATTATTGAGCTACTTTCTTTCTGGAATCTGCTGAACCAGAACCCCTAATACCAGAAATCATTTTAAGCAATATCAATTGTTTAAAAATTGTTGAAAAACCGTATACAATCACTTTCTGGCTACAAATTCTTGACAAAGTATATCAAAGCATCAAATAAGTGACGTGGATATGCTCTACTTCGTAGTTTAAAAGAGAGTCAAATACATTATATAAACTCATAACTAGAAATGTTTAATTGAAGCGGAGGAACTACTCAAAAAGACTTACTTAAATATTGAACTTGAGAGTGGTTGCTGGCAATGTGAGTTGTTCTTGTTATCGTTGGGTATATCAAACAAATATGTTTTGTATTTGTCCATTTCATTGACAAATTCCTAGCTATAAAAGTAGAGTTTGAATTACAAAAGATACGGATTAGAATCAAATTTTGAGATACCAACAAAATGATTGTAATGAAGATTCTTGGTTTTAATAGAAATACAACGATAAGCCAAGTAATTCGCTGCCTTGTTAATCTTTGGCTTAATGAGTGTAATTGCCCAATTATAAGGCTAGAGCTTTTTCTTGATATTGTTGATGCTCGACCATCATCTCCAATGCTGAAGGGAGTGACCAGTTATGTCTTCATAAACCTCTTTACTATCGACCTAAAAAATAATATTAGCAAAAGTGGCGGTGCAAATGTGAGGGATAGTGTGAATAATAGTATCATAAATAGTCAAAGGTGTATCAGAATGCTTATCAATCCGAGAGTTGTGACCAATGTTTTCTACTATGACACCAACTCAATGTCTCAATCTATGGGGGGGAAAGATTCTTAGAAATATATACATCATCTAAAGTTGAGTAGGAATATATTTCACCAATAATTCATCATGAGACTCGTTCGTGAACAAAATGATAATGCTTTTAGTCTGAGCATGCTATTTTGGATTAATAGACAAATATGAAGTAGAAATATTACCCAGAGTACCTACGTTGGCGCATGACTAGGAATCCCAAGCTCAAATAGGATAGACCGAATGTGCAAGATATCCTGAATAATATATGCAACTGCCTTCCTTGAAAATTTGGATACAATAAGTTGTTTCTTGGATTGCTAGAGAATCAAATTTGATTTTAAGAAAATAGCATAACTTGTGGTACAATGAGGATCATTCTAATTATTCAATACCATCTTCTTCTTCACCCACTCTCCCGACTTTCGATTTGAGCTTGAGACTAAATATATGTTTGCTTAACTAGAACTCTAGAAGTCAATACTACGTAGGAGAGAGTTCAAATAAAAAGTGGTGTTCCCGTACAAAGTGCAAACGTTTGCACTTTTTGCTCAATGTGATGCACTGTTTCATGTTTTGTTCCACTTTTCCGCGGTGGTAAAAAACTTTAATTTATTTATGAAATTATCACCGCGTTTTTGATCAAATTTAATGCATTGTTGACTTAGTTTGAGCCATTAAATCCCGAATTGAATGCACAAAATTTATTCTCACTTTGCATGAGAAATCTTTTTGTATTTAAACTATTGACATACTACGTGTGTGTGTGGCTATTACGTAGGACTATATATTGACACATAAAGTGTGTAATCTTAAGGATGCGTTATTTAAATGTGTTATTTATTACTACATACATGATACATTTGCTCCATCAACACATCCATACACCCACACAAACACAAACACACACAAACACATGCTGTATTGCTGTAATTCCATTTTAACCTCTCTTTGAATTACTTACCTAGACCGTTTCTCTCACAGTTTAAGATTTTAAGTCAGTTTTCATTCCCCATATTGTAGTTGCTCTAAAACCCGAAACACAAATACTCTGTAATACAATAACATCAATGCATTCAATCAAACTCATAGACAAACACTTTCAAACATAAATTCATCAACACTGAACTGACTGAAGTAAGAAAACCAGGATGAAAGTTACAAGTTACACCACCTCTTGGCTATCTATGTTATGACATTGATCCATTCATGTTACATACAGCCATATACATGCATAATATATGTGTTTGCATGTGTATTATGTGACTACTCGCTAGCCACTATCATAATGAAGTAGAATGTATGACCTTCATCCCCGACCCCAACAAGGAAGTGTATTAAACCGAAAGGCCTTTCCCAGTTGCTAGAAGACTTCAATTGATTCACTTGCTTGGACCAGTTTATCAGTGTTTGAAATTCACCAAAAAATTGTACACTACTCCTTAAGAATCAAATTGAACTATTATAACAAATGTCATCCTTCTGGGCTTGAACACTTCTAGACATACATACTTTGACCCCAGCCAAGGAGCACCCTCTTCAAGTTTCTCATTGCGATTGCACTACCATCATCTCTGTAGAGACAAGGAAAAGTATTATTACTATGTCCATTGTGTTTTAAAACAAGAAATAAAGGAGCCAGTAAATAGGTGTGACACTTGGTATTCAACAGAGAACATGATTCATGAAGGCATAAATGGAAGCACTTCAAAACTCTAATTGCTAAAATTGTGAAGAGCAACAAAGAACCCAAACACTGTAGGAGGAAAGAAGATTTGGAACTGGAAATTTAAGTGAAAGTAAACAGGGAAGATAAACGCGAAAATTTAGAAGGAAAGAAGACTTGGAAAATAGAAACTTGGTTCAAACTCCATAAATCAATTTTAGATATTTTGTTCAAACTCATTTTATTTATATATCTGTAGTGCACAAAGAATAAGAACTCTAAAATTAAAAAATGTATGTACAAATTCCAAAAGTTTTCAACAAATTTGATTTTCCAGGGTACCACCAAACATGAAAAATATTATTTTCTTAGCAATTTTCACTTTCCCTACCATTTCCTACATTCCATACATAACCTAAGAAGGGAGAGAAATAAAAATAGAAATCAAACCTTTGCAAAATTTTCTGCCAGCCAGCTGTTCCATACTTGTCATCTTGTTTCTGTTGGTTCAACTCCATGTAATTCTGGTAGGCCTTGGTCCCCACCTTATCCGTAGAAACCATCTCCATCATACACTCTTCAAGTTCATCAGATTCACGCTTATTCCCAACCCTACGTAAACCATCAATAACTGGCATAAAGGATGCAGGATCAAACCCATAACCGAAAACAATCATCCTATTCAAAACAGCATGACCCGTTTCCACATTCTCTTCCTTGCACAGTCTGTCTATCAGATCTCTGTAAAAGAATCCACTCACATCAAAGCGTCTTTCTAACGAGGCTTCAAATAACAACTTAGCCTCCAAGATTTCTCCCCCGGCAAGCAGCTCGTTGAACATTATTCTATAAAGAGTCTCATTGTGGCCATAGATACTTAGTGCAATTTCAAACACCTCGTGGGCCGGTCTGAACTCTCCAATCCCACAGAACGCTTTGAGCAACAGCTCAAAGGTATGTGTATTAGGCAGCGTCTTTTTTCGCAACATTTCTTCCAGAAGGTGGGTTGCTTCTTCGGTTCTCCCTTCTTCACATAGACACTTGATCATGATATTGTAGGTGTGTACGTTTGGGAAAATCCCATTCTCTCTCATTTCATCCATCAGCCCAGACATTTCGAATATTTGATTCTTGGACCCCAATGCAAAGATGAGAGAGTTGTAAGTTTGCAAACTCCTCTCACACCCTTTTTTCTCCATGTCCTTCACGACCTGAAATGCAGATGCAATTTTACCCCTTTTACATAAATGATGCAATATTGAATTATAAACAATTGAATCAGGAAACAGCTTCCTCTCCATCATCTCAACAAATATTTTCTTGACTTCACCTAATCTCCCATCCTTGCATAAAAAATTGATAACGGTTGAATAAGTGATCAAGTCAGGAAAACACTTCTTTTCAAGATCAAGAAATGAATTTCCTAAATTGCCCAGAAGGGCAACAGAAGCGCTTCCGTGAGTCCACATTTTTTCAACAATTTCAACCGCTTTGTCCACCATCCCAATCCTACACATGCCACCAATCACGATATTGCAACTTGAAGTATCAAAAGGGTAACCCCTTTCCTCCATCTTCTGTAACAACCTATTTGCTTCTGATACCTTTCCTTCTTTCCACAAACTATACAGCAAGATGTTACATGTCCGGGTATTAGGAATACACCCACTGTTTTTCATATCACTCAAAATTTTGTTTGCCTCTCTGACTTTACCTTTTAAACAATGGGCATGGAGGAGAGTAGTGTAAGTGACCGTGTCGGGATAGACCCCATTCAATTTTAATAAGCTCATCAATGATCTAGCATCAGCAAGCATTCCATTCTTGCAGAGACCATCTATCAGGGTGTTATACGTATAGATATTCGGTTCTACTCCATTTTTCACCATATCAGTCAAAAGAGATTGGGCCTCAAACAGCTTTGAGTTCCTCACCAGTCCAACAAGAAAAATATTGTAACTATTCACATCGGAGAAAATCCTGCGCTTCTTCATTGTCTCAACCAAGGACTTTGCTTCCTCCATCATTCTTTCCTTGCAAAACCCTTCCAACATCACATTAAAGGTTATATTATTAGGCTTTGGCAAACCATGCCCATCATCACCATCTGCTTCCATGTCCCTGAAAATCCTTGAAGCTTCCCGAACCTTCCTAGAGTCACAGAGAGCTGAAATCCTTGAGTTGAAGGTAACAACATCCGGAGCAAGCCCATCCTCCTCTCTCATCCTCTGCACAAGTCGCTCAGCTTGATGCGTTTTGCCTTCCTTACAGAAGGTTGCAATCAAAGTGTTGTATATCACGATATTAGGACAAAGGCCCATCTTCTTCATCAA